TATTCAGACGTCATTATCAATAATTTTATCATATTGCACTAGGAATTATTAAGATTAGTAATTGATGTAAACACATAATTGGAAAAGTGTAAATGTTTCCTTTTTAATAACCTAATAGCGTTACATATTTTTTACATTTTTTTTCTGTAACATTATCTCGGTCACCTATTCTTACTACGCGTTTAAGGTAATACTCGTAGGTGGGCATTATGTGTCAATTTGACATTTCTTGTTTTTGATATGGCATTTACATTGACCATATTGTTGCCATTTAAAATTCATTTGTTTTTTTGTTATATATCATGCTAGTGATTGACATGTGTATGAGTTTTTACTTGCTGCAACGTTCTTAATATGATTTCAATAGCCAAAGAAGATTTTATTCTGTAAATGCAGGATTTTAAATGAAATAAGTGTACGCTTAGGTGATTTTAAAATAGTAGCATAATGATTTCAATGTTTTTCCATAGTTACGTTTTGCTCATTTTTACCGATGTGCACTTCATTGATATTTTTTTATGTCTGATGAAGTTATCATGGTGCTTCTTGATACTCATAGCTGTGACATAACATTATAAACTGGTGAAATAAAGTATACATATATTGAAAAACAGTTTTATAGTCGACTTTTTTCTATAACGCCAAAATTGTTTAAAACAACATTTTCTTTTAATTTTTGACATTTATTTCCATTCTTCTAAACATGTAAATTTAAACAAAGAAATCAACAGCTTTGATTAACTTTAGTAGAGGCTTTAGGAAAACAAAAACAGTTATCTTTTAAACTGATATTGTAATTAAAAATGAATTGCAGAAAAAATGTATTAATATTATTTGTTTATTCATTACCTTTCATAAGATTATCTGAAGTGAATATCAGTAAAGATGTTTATATTTCTTAAGATTTTTAAAAATAAATATTGTCAAAGATGTTTTGAAATTTAATCTTTTTAATAAGGTAATGACTAACCACCTTGCACATGTAGATATCATTTATTTTGTTCAATTCATATCGTAAACCTCTATATAATCCCAAGATTGTCGTCCAACTATCAGTTTCATGTTATTGCGATCATAGCAAACCGCCTGACAACCTCCTGTTTTTCCATCTGATGTAAGTATTTCTCCTATCACCTCACCATTAGGAGAAAATTGTACAATATTGTTAGATGATGTTCCACAAACAAGTATATCTCCACTGTCTGTTTCACAAATCTCTCTTGCCCATGTGATGTTGGAAGGATTATATTTTCCATGTAATTTACCTTCCTTACTAAGTACTACAAGACCATATAGACAGTCAGCAACATACATCCTCTCACCATTTTGACTGACTGTAAGACTGTAGATATTGTTAAACAAGTTGTCACCGGACTGATCTTTGGAAAATTGTATCAGCATTGTCCCTGACTTGTTGTAGACATAAACAACCCTGCCTGAATCAGTTACATAAATTTTACCATTTTTGTACCCTATGCCATAACAGCGATGATCAGTTTTTATTTCCCGTGCTACTTTAAGAGGACCTTCTGTAGTTACAATGTCAATATTCATCCCACCAGAGGATACAGCTATCTCATTGTCAACTTCACAAATTTGCCACGGGGATCTCGGAAGTTGGCAGACATCTAATATTTTAAATGAGGTCATGTCAAGACGTTTTAAGCTTTTATTATTGTAATCAGCAATAATCACACAGCCATCCTTAAGCTTACATATACTGCGTGTATCATAATAAGGGTAAGAGTCTGAATCATGTTTGATACTAATCTCCTTCTTTTCCCCTAGCCAATATATAGCATGCTTTTCAACAATTTCTCCCAATATGTTCATTTGGTCTATCATTGACACCAGCTTTTGTTGCTGTTCAAAGACAACATCAAATCTTTTGAATTCCTTTGTCTTCTCTTTCAAACCATTGTCTGCTCTCTCTGTAACTGAGTTAGCTACTTTCACCCCCACAAATTTTTGCGACACGTTTGATGAGACGGATTTTATTTCTTCTGCTGAAGATTTAACATCTGTCTGGAAAGTTGTTAGTATGGTACATTGCTCTTCAAAATTTTTGATTAATGCTTTGTATTTACCATCTATTTTATCAATGCTGTTCTTTTCAAGATTGTCAAGTTTCTGGTTGATGTCAATCCGGAACTGTTTTATTTTTTCAATTTCTTCTTCTTTCCGTTTGAATAGACGTTTTATTTCCCGTTGTCGAATTTTCAGCTGAAATTCAATGTCCCCGGTAACATCTAGTATTTTTTGCTTAACGTCTTCACATTGAATTGTAGGGTCATGATCTAAGACGTATTCAGGCACATAGAAAACATCGTTACAAGACCTGAAAATTGAATTATTTTAACTGTATATAATACGAGGCCAATGCATTTATTTTACATTAGACATTGGCATTTCATTCTATCTATTTGAATGATGAAACTTGTTGATTTATATGTGTACGTAAAATGTGATTTTAAGGCACACTTTTATAAGCTATTCGACAACGAATCATGTCTTTACATCAAGTATTTTGTTTCCTTCCAAACATGATACGAGAATTATCATTTTCACATGTTCATAACCATATATATCTTTATCTGTTACGTAATTAATTGTAAGTCCCAAAAGAGTTTAGAACATTATAAATATTGAAGAAAGAAAAAAATATGTACTTGCGTAGTGCATTTTGTAAATATGTATAAATTGATAAACGGTTAAATGTTACATAACTGACGTAAACAAACATTTAACTCAGAGATACTTTTCTTCATTTACAATTGATACTGCTAACTATCGCATTATATTTTTAAATTCAATATTACTTGGAATATGTATATAGAGATTGGCCAAATACCGACTATGATAAAAGATTAAATTTGTATATTAAAACTAAAACCTCCAAATGACTGTTGCGTTTGTGGGCTTATTCCGTTATATGTAAATGACGGTCATTTGCGTAAAACCGGGTAAAAGTATATTTCATGTCACATATACCATATAAATAATTTATCTAGGACCTGCATCGATGGGATATTAAAAAAAAGTCAATAAAATAACCGCCGCACATGTGCCGATATTCGCATTATATGCAAATATATTACTATGTATGGAAACAAGATGGCCACCGCACGTGTACAGTCTTGCTGCCGCACGTGTGCAGTCTTGGGGCTCAAGCGCACGTGTGCAGTCGTGACGTTCAAGTGACGCATATACTACTACTGATATTTATTGTGTCCAAGTGAGTGAGAAAAATAATCAATCATTAGGTTAGATAGAGGATAGAGAAATCCCAACCCTCGGGCAATCGGTTCCATCGGGAACCGATCACCTTCGGGTTGGGATTTCCCTATCCTCTATCTAACCCAATGATAGATTCTATTAGTCTTTTATGAAACTATAACACCTATAGATATTATGCACGTTTTATTTCCAAGTGTGCATCTCTAAGAATTATATAATCAAGACCAATGGCTCAAAATTGTGCCAGCCCTTGGTGCCACTTTGTTTATATAGATTTGTATAGGAAAATACATTTAAGTATTGAACTACAATGCCACTACAATGCAAATAGCTAAGGTATTTGTCCTTTTGCTTGTCTTAGCAGACATATACAATGTTTCAAAAAATATACAGCTTTGGTGAAAAATGACAAACCTAATGTGATCTAATTAGTACTGACCTTTTCATTGAAAAATAAAAGATGATACCTTTTCTAGCAACGTTTCCCAGGTTAGCGGTCCGAGGCCATCATTTAAAAATTCTAAATGAAAACAACGCTCATAAATAACGTAAGATGGCTGTTTAGATAAGAATTATTAGTGGAGGAGTAAAAAGTCTTATAAATTTGACAGCATTTGTGCACATGTATATGCAGTCCACAAGGGATGAATATGGCCCTTTGTATACTCTTGATATATTTTTGGCGTATATTGTTATGCGCCTGTTCACCCTTCTTCCGTTCGTCCGTCTTTTAGCAATTTCTTGTCCGGCCTGTAGGTTCCATACTGATCTTTTAGAACGAGTTGAATAAAATTATATTATGCAAGTAAAAGAATATTTTATTCAACCACTGCAATAAATTCAATAATGATGCTACACAATTACAATGTATTTACAACATACCCAGAATAAATACTGTTTAAGGCACAAAAGAATCATTTTCATTAACGCAAACATTTAGCGCCCCCCTTATACTATGTTTGTATAACGAAAATGACGGCACATAATCTGATAGGGGATTCAAGCTGTCTTCGTCATACTTATGAAATTACTTTACCAAATGAATTGATGATAGAAAATAATTGATTATTAAACTTTTAATTAATTACTTTTAATGTGACCTTTATATGACACCAAAAGTGTATGACGTAACAATTTCAATTTTAGACATTCATTTTTGTTCTTTTGATCAAATAAATTTAAGACAATCAACTGGAAATACAATTTTACTATATCTTAAGTATTTTAGAATTAGCTTTATTGAATTCATGAAGAGTTATCTTTTACAATGATATTTTTTTTTATTAAATATCAATTCCAGGATGAAATGTATTCATAAATAAATTTTCATTCATTTTGAGTAAGATTCTTCCTTAAGATTATCTTAAGAGAATATCATTACAGACGTCTTGAAATTTGATCAATGAGTCAGTTATTGATTAACTTCCATGAAAGTTTAGATATCATTTGTTCTTTATTGTCCACTTCATGTCGTAAACTTCTATATAATCCCGATCTCGTCGTCCAACTATCAGCCTCTTGTGATATCGATCATAGCAGATCGCCCAACAACCTCCTACTTGACCATCTGATGAAAGTATTTCTCCTATCACCTCACCATTTGGAGAAAATTGTACAATTATGTTAGATGATTCACCGCAAACAAGTATATATCCACTGTCTGTTTCACAAATCTCCCTTGCATTTCTGAGGTTGGAACGTTTATAATTTTCCATGTAATTTACCTTCCTTACTAAGTACTACAAGACCATATCGATTGTCAGCAACATACATCCTCTCGCCATCTTGACTGACTGTAAGACTGTAGATATTGTTAAACAAGTTGTTACCTGACTGATCTTTGGAAAATTGTATCAGCATTGTCCCTGTCTTGTTGTAGACAAACATAGTCTCCATTAAATCAGTAACATACAATTTTCCATTTTTGTACCCTAAACCAAAACAGCGATGATCAGTTTTTATTTCCCGTGCTACTTTAAGAGGACCTTCTGTAGTTACAATGTCGATGTTTATCCAACTGGAGGATACAGCTATCTCATTGTCAACTTCACAAATTTGCCACGGGGATCTTGGAAGTTGACAGACATCTAATATTTTAAATGAGGTCATGTCAAGACGTTTAAGCTTTTATTATTGTATTCAGCCATCCTTAAGCTGACATATACTGCGTATATCATGACAGGGGTTCGAGTCTGAATCATGTTTCATACTAATCTCCCTCTTTTCCCCTAGCCTATATATAACTGGCTTCAACAATTTCTCCCAACATGTCCATTTGGTCTATCATTGACATGAACTTCGGTTGTTGTTCAAAGACAACATCAAATCTTTTGAATTCCACTGCTTTCTCTTTTAAACATTATCTACTCTTTCTGTAACCGAGTAAGCTACTTTCATCCCCACAAATTTTTGCGACACATTTGATGAGGCGGATATAATATCTGCTGCTGAAGTCTGAACATCTGTTTGGAAAGTTGTCAATATGGTAATTTGCTCTTCAAACTTCTTGATTAATACTTTGTATTTATCTTCTATGTTATCAATGCATTTCTTTTCAAGATTGTCAAGTTTCTGGTTGATGTCAATCCGGAACTGTTTTATGTTTTCAACTTCTTCTTTTTCCGCTGAAACAGACGTTTTATTTCCCGTTGTCGAATGTTTAGCTGAAATTCAATGTCATCGGTAACAGCTAGCATTTTGCGTTGAACGTCTTCACATTGAGTTGTAGGGTCATGATCTAAGACGTACTCAGGCACGTAGAAAACATCGTTACAAGACCTGAAAATTGAATAATTTAAGTTGTATATAATGCATAGGCAATGCATTTATTTTACATTAGACAGTGGCATTCCATGCAATCTAGATAGGAATAATAAAACTTGAGTGAATTATATATGTACGTTAAATGTGATTTTAAGGCACACTTTTATGAGCTATTCGACAAAAGATCGTGTTTGTACATCAAACATTTTGTTTCTTTCCAAATATGATACGAGAATTATCATTTTCACATGTTAATAACCATATATGTCTTTATTTGTAATTAATTGTTTAGTCCCAAAAGTGTCCTTTTTATAATCGAGTTAAGAACATTATAAATATTGAGGAAAGGAAACAAATAATGTACTTACATAGTGCATTTTGTAAAAATGTATAAAATAACTGACGAAAACAAACAATTAACTCAGAAATGCCTTTCTTCATTTTCATTTGATACAGTAGCTATCTCACTGTGTAAATTATACATGTCTCCTTTAAGCTTTCAACAGATATGTTTTTATGTCTTATGTTCATCTAACAATATAATTATTTGAGCTTGAATCCGTAAATCGCCGAACCATTTTAAATAATACGGTACTAATTGAAATATTTGAAAAAATTGCACTACAATATACATGTATTTACACGTAAAACTTGTCTAGCTTTTATTTCAATAAACATTTTCAAATTGATTATAATTTTTACATTTTAATTGTGAAAATCGAAACGGTTCCAAATTACAGCTTGAAGGTGTTAACAGCTTTGTCATAGGCGTATTTTATATAAAGTCATGAAAACTATGCCATTCACAAAAGAAAACCTCATTCTGATTTTCAATTTTATTACATGACAAAAACATTTTTTTCAAAATCAAATTGGAAATATTTATTGATATTTATTGCGCATGCCTCAAACAGGTTGTGTTTTTAAAATATAGTTGGAATACAGAGTAGCAGTGAAATATAAACCTTGCAATTGACAAATTATGTTTGTTTAATTGATAGACGCACATCATGACATATGAAGCAAAATGAATACATTATTTCATTTACTTGTATCTTATAAAGTTATTAAAGTATTATGAAATAACCTTTCAAAAATCATGTCCAGACAGAATGATAATTTGTATGTCAAGCTGCGCAAAATTCCTTATCTGACGGACTGAATGTAAATAAGGTTTATTTTTAGGTGTTTGAAAACAATGTTAACACATATTTGGAAATTGATAACAGGCAAATTAAGTAAACTAAACAAATATCACTATAATAAGTTTAAGTAACATTTACATTATTACATTTATCATTTAATTTTGGCTAACGCACTGCATGACATACAATAGAATGTGTCTTACCTGTGATCTACTGCCATACATGAAGTACACCCAACGTTATCATGACTTTGACAGTACATGTCAACAGGTTTAAACCCGTGTCTCTCGCATCTTTGTGTTGGTGCTAAAGGGCAAAGTTCCGCTAGTTCCATCCTTGACTTGACCTTTATCTAGAATCTTAATGTCCAGACAGGGCTGGAATATTCATCATGAAATTTCACACAATCCGAACAGTAATAATCATGGCAATCTGCGCAATATTTGCTGTCCGCTTCTTTATTTATTTCTTTACGTTTTTACAAGGTGAACAGAACAAACGAAAGTGGGTTCATCTGGACTGTTTTTTCCATCTCACTCCCTGAAATGTCGGCCATTTTGCTTGTTACAAATTTACGTTTTATGAAATAAAGTCCATTTTCGGTTTCGTTATCTTTAAAAGGAAATACACCACGATCGATACTGCGCTAAAAATAAACCATTTCACATAAGTTGAACGTTTATATATTTAGGTCAAAGTGTAAATATAAAGGTAGTTTTATTGGTACTTTGTTTACAAATTCAATTCATCTTTTGAAGTAAAAATGCATGTTTAAATGTTTAAATATTTTTCTTTAAACATTAATCTATATTTAACAACTTTGTACTCATGTCTTTTTTGTTGAACCACCATCTTTCTGCAAATAAAAAATATAAGTTATAGGGCTTCTTGTGGACAAAACAGAGGTAAATTGTTGTTCTAGTTAAACCCTTGTCACACTAGGGAGGCGTTCTCATGGCGTCCAAAGAAATTTCAGAACGCCGAGGTGAGCGCAGTAAGATCGCAAACATCGCCGCGGCACCGCCACAGCATCGCAGTGGCATTGCATAGAACGCCGACCAACGGCGCGCATTTTGAGCATGCTCAAAACAAAAGCTGTCACTCGGCGTTCTGATAAGAGCGCAGTGGGATCGCCGTAGCAACTCAGTAGCATCCCTACAACGCAACAGGAGCGCCGCGAAAGCACAGAAGGATCGCCGAATGTACGCAGTGGTTAGCCACGGCGCTTGTATGGAGATTGTTCAGCGTCTCTTCCGCGCTTTTACTGCGTGTGTACGGCGCTTTTACTGAGCTTTAATTTTCTAAAACGCTCTTTACTCGACTTTTACGTCACTCTTTCCCGGCCGACCCTTGCCGCCACTCGAGACGATTTCCCCGGCGAAATGTGCATGCGATTCTTCTGCGTCCATCTGAAATTGCAGAATACGGTGCAGTAGAATCCCTACTTAAGACCACCCCGAAATTAAGAACAACCCTCTATATAAACTACATTTTAAAGAGCAGAATTTTCTGTCCTTTTATGTTAATGATTACATGATCCACAATTAAGACCTACCCACTTATCCACTTTTAAGATCACCAGATTCTGTCCCAATTCATTGTTTTATCTATCTTATCCCACTATGATAACAAGTTTGTTGTCATTCATTTACTTGGATTCACTAAAGCATGACACTTGATGAAACAATATGTGATTTGAAAATTGTATAAAGGCGAGAAAAACTTCAGATTGGTTTAATGTTACTTTATGCACATTTATTAGTGAAGAATTAATTTCTTAATTAATAGGTGAATTACGTACATGAAACAAGACCTTAAAATTGTATCTATATTTGAATATCTTCAGACTTATGTTAAATTACGATATATAACATCAGTTTATAGTAAAAATTTGAAGGTAATGATATAATTTATAAACATGTTTTACATAATATTTCAAATAGATTGTTTTTTAAATATTGTGGCTTTATATAATTATAACCACAATTAGGACCAATGCGCAATTTAAGCCACTTTAGTCCAGTCCCTTTAATGGTGCTTAATAAGTGGTTTTCACTGTGTAATATAGAAAGTGTTTGCAGGAAAATATTCCTTTTCAACCATGGGATATGAACGGCAACAAGCTGTAATTTGCTTGCTTGCATGCAGGTGCACAGGTACACACTATTCAGAATGAAAATCGCTGGTATTATGAAGCCACAAATTCAGCACAGTTTGAGCGCCCGGAGCGCGCCTGTGAGCGCTTAAAGCGCAGTGGAAGCGGCAAAAACGCAGACAATCGCCAATTAAATGGCCGTAAGAACGCATTGCTTCTAAGGCAACGCCAATTATCGCCATGCAGGACGGCCGTAAAGTCTCATTTTTAGTAAAATACAATAATCAGATTGTTTCTTGCGATCTCGCGGCGCTTTATTAAATTAAACAACGACGTGCAAACGCAGTAAAAGCGCAGTCTAGTGTGACAGGGCCTTTAAGTATCTACAAATGTCGTTTAAATCTAATTCTTCAAGCGGCTACTGATTTGATCTATGCGATATCAGTGCATGATACTATTAGCCGGCAACTCGAGACCATGGTTTGCACTTTTGTGTTCGCTATTCGGTCAACGCATATTAGTAAAAACATGTTTAATGGTTTTGACCTGATCGAAAATTAGACAAGCCTATTTAAGATTTCTAGCGTGGTAAGGCTGATGTCAACACGAATTGTTTAGTTTTGCATGAATATTTTACTAGAGTAGGGCTACAACGTAAGCAATGTTTGTGTTTTCAGAAATGAATAGTATTATCATAAATTCATATGTCTTATTTTATGTACACATTTTTTTATCCTCAATTTAGTTTAATGAATACGTGGCATTCTCATCACATGCACGTTCATAAACTGCTTTAATGTTGTTTGTGAGAGCTTGCATCATGCCCAACTCTTATCTCAATTTCATCTATCTTGTTCGTGATTTTCTATATATACCTGTAACGTTGATGTATGAATGCTAACCCGATTCATGTGCTGCAGGACCAATATGATTTTATTCTGTTACTTATTCAAAGTTCTAGATGGGATAATTTATAAATTGTATATGTTCAACTAATAAGTATATTTTGATTTTTGTTTTTACTGATGTATAATATTACTTATACATATATCTGGTAGAATAAACGGGATACACTCGCTTGATTGAAAACTAATTGACCGGTGGTTATTTTTATTTCAGTCAGGCTATATTCTCCAATATATCCCGCCAAGAGCTTTTATAACGAATTTGTGATAACACAAACTCCTTATGACGACACTTCCATCAATAAATATAATATACAAAAAATCTACTGTAAAAGGAATTTTTGATGTATGAGTCAGTGAAAAAAATGAAGAAATATTACTTGGAAGAATATCTTTTTATTATACGAATTGTCAAAGATTAAAAGTGTAAAGAAAAAATAAAATGGGATCTGTCAGGAACATGTACTTCTGAGCCTCTTCCGATCTTATTAACAATGTTTCCTTGCGAATTTCGTAAAATGTTTATAATATAGAACGGCAACAAATGTCCGATTCATAATTATGACAAAATTATTCATTAAATTTCTAATTCATTCATCAACTACGCGTCACGTGCCGTAATATTACAAGTCTGTATTATTAAGAAATAGATAAATAATGGTAATGTTTTTTTGACATATAAAAGGAAGTGATGTAATAAATCAATCGATTATCAATACTAAAATATTCATTAAAACTATTCATTTACAACATTATGTACTGGTCATTTATATACTACGCGTAACATGAAATAAAACTTCCGTTATATTATAAGAATGACATAGTTAAAGAAATAAAAAATGGATTCACGACATGTAATAAATCACTTTAGTGTTTGAAATTATTTTTTGTCCAATAGAATTGCAGTATTTCAAATGAATCGTAACACGTTTACTTTGGTAAATCAACAAACTGTTAATCCAGTAAATCGACTGTTTATAAAAACTTTTGAAACACTAACATACAGCCGCGCGACCAATTTAATTTTGTAAATATGTACCTATACTTAAAGTTAAAAACCCAGTAACTTTCGAGTGCTTTTATTGAAGAACGGGTATAACGAATTTGATGTCAGGTGTTCAACGGTTAGTTAATCCAAAGTAATTCAAGTATAATTATACCCATCATTTCGGTGTAACTGTTAACTAAATGAAAGCTGTAATGTCATTTGCATCGAGAAATGACACATAAATAAACGTTATTGCAGTGAAGTTTCATGAACGAGTTGAGAATAAATTTATAATACGCGAGCCTTTGCGAGCCTTTGGCGAGCATAATGTTACTTAATCCGACGAGTTCAATACATTTAGTAATGAAGTGATGAAGCTATGAGAATATAGCTTTCTATTTATCACATTGCCAAAATGAGAATTGTAAACTAACAGAAGAAAACAACCCTTTTCAATGTTGCGCTTATAGCGTAACACTAACATTCGCGCGTCTTTACGCTGCGCTTGTACTGCGAAAATGATGATGTCAAACTATATGCACCGCCCTGCATTACCGTTTCATGAAGTCGTAAAGGCGGCGCAGGTATATTATAAAAAATAAAACGCAAAGCTTTGTTTTAATGAACAGGCGCATTAAATACAGAAAATGTACAACACAGTATTTTAAGTGTTTAGAAAGCCGATCAAATTTTAGAAATTTTATTTCATTTTCTTAAATCAACACAATTTTAATTGCTTAAATTGGGACACTATAAACAGTAAGTTGTTGAATTCTCAAATAATGTAAATGTCGAAGTTAAAGAGATATTGGCCTCGAAGAAAACATACGAATGTATCGTTTCCAATCGTGCAAGTTATTTCTTTGTGACAGTATGGATGTATTTATGTTTTTTGTAGATTTCTCTTTATATATTAATATTTTCTGCTAAATGTTTACACGCAACCCTAGCGTACGTTTTTGAGTCTGCTATTCTATGACACTCTTTAAGCATGTTATATAATTTGTCTTTTATTGATAAGTAAAGGATCTTTAAAAATTATAAAAGCTAAACATCGGGTCCGTAAGAAATCACAGCTAACGTTTTTAAATTTTTTCAAGTTATTTTCCCCTTCTGCAGAAATTTTTGACTTAAAAACAAAATACATATTTCAGTTTTAGACAATGACGCATACATTTCGAACAGGTGAAGATCAAAAAAAAGAATATTCCGACAGGTTGTTTTGTTCTTAAATATCTATTATCATTTACATGTATATTGAAAACATATTTTTGATTCCTTAATTTTAGTTTAGCAGAAAAAAAGATCATAGATAGAAAAATTTAAGGGTTGGTGTAGGGCAAATCCTTCTTACAATGATTGTTTTTTCCAGACAAAAAGTTTTACCCTT